GCTGGTCTTGAACTCCTGACCTCAGGTGATCCACACGCCTCAGCCTCCCAAAGTGCTGGGATTACAGGCATGAGCCACCACACCTGGCAGGCAATCTTTTCTTTAAAGTCATTCACTTTTATTTATTTTTATTGTTTTGAGACAGGGTCTTGCTCAATGGTGTGATCTTGGCTCACTGAAACCTCTACCTTCCAGGCTCAAACGATCCTCCTGCCTCAGCCTCCCAAGTAGTTGGGACTACAGGTGTGCATCACTATGCCCTGCTAATTTTTGTATTTTTTGTAGAGACAGGGTTTCACCATGTTGGCCAGGCTGGTCTTGAACTCCTGGACTCAAGCAATCTGCCTGCCTGGGCCTCACAAAGTTCTGGGATATAGACACGAGCCACTGTTCCCCACTAAAGTGCCTTATTTTTAAAAAGTAGGCATTTCAGGCCGGGCGTGGTGGCTCACGCCTGTAATCCCAGCACTTTGGGAGGCTGAAGCAGGTGGATTATGAGGTCAAGAGATCGAGACCATCCTAGTCAACATGGTGAAACCCCATCTCTACTAAAAATACAAAAAAAATTAGCTGGGCGTGGTGGCATTCACCTGTAGTTCCAGCTACTTGGGAGGCTGAGGCAGGAGAATCACTTGAACCTGGGAGGTGGAGGTTGCAGTGAGCCGAGATCACACCACTGCACTCCAGCCTGGCAACAGAATGAGACTCCGTCTCAAACAAAACAAAACAAAACAAAACAACAACAAAACAAAAAATTAGCTGGGCATGGTGGGGTGCGCCTGTGGTCCCAGCTACTTGGGAGGCTGAAGCAGGAGAATCGCTTGAACCCAGGAGGCGGAAGTTGCAGTGAGTGGAGATCGCACCACAGCACTCCAGCCTGAGGGACAGAGCAAGACTCCGTCTCAAAAAAAAAAAAAAAAAAGTAGGCATTTCAATGCCTGCTTCGATGTTATCCTTTTAGCCTCATTTTCATTTGTGTAACCCACTTAAGTTGTCTTGGGTGCCTCCGAGGTGCAAGGCCATGCCTTGTGGAACCTGCAGTCCATTAGCCATGGGAGCTGAAGGAACAACTCTACAGTTTAGGCCCAGGGGACCACCATGAGAAGTGTGCAGTTTGTTTGGTTTGACAAACAGGAACCAGGTGGCAGGGACTGCATAAGCAAGGGCGTAGCGGCTGGACCAGGCCTGGTGAGTCTGCCAGGAAAGAATGGCCCACCCTTTGTGTGCTCACCTCACTGGGAGGCCACCCTCAAAGTGGGTGGTCACCCCCCTTCAGAGAGGAGAAACTGAAGACGGGGTGGGAAAGGGCCCTGTTCACAGGCTGGCTGAAAGGACTGCAGTGTGTGAGAACACAGGGCTGCACCTGACTTCCACGGAGAGCATGCATGGCCGGGGACAACTGTGCACACACAGAACTGAGCAGGCCAGGCAGGGCCAAACGCCCCAGCCACCGCTCCCCTCGCCCCTCAACCTCCTCCTTCCTTACAGAGGGGCCCCCTCTCTTACTTGGTGACCCACACCCCTAATTCTGGGTGCTTTTGTTCTTGGTGTTGCACCCTGCCCACAATCCCGGTGCCAGGAGTCCTCTGTGGGCACAGCAAACAGTGATGAGGGACAGTCCCTGCCTTCCCCCACCTAGGAGTAATAATAACAACCACGGCAAAGTCACCCAGAAAAGACCATAAAAACCTCAAGTTCAGCCGGGCGCGATGGCTCATGCCTGTAATCCCAGCACTTTGCGAGGCTGAGGCGGGCGAATCACGAGGTCAGGAGATCCAGACCAGCCTAGCCAACATGGTGAAACCCCATCTCTACTAAAAATACAAAAATAGCCAGGTGTGGTGGCATGAGCCTGTAGTCCCACCTACTCAGGAGGCTGAGACAGGAGAATTGCTTGATTCTGGGAGGCAGAGGATGCAGTGAGCCGAGATCGCCACTGCACTCTAGCCTGGGCGACAGAGCAAGGCTCCATGTCATAAATAAATAAATAAATAAACAAACCTCACGTTCCCGAAGAGCAGGAAAACGTTCTAAATCCGCGCTCCAGCTCACCTGGCCTGGAACCAAGCTGCTAAAATTGCGAGGCTACAGGCTTCAACTTGCGCTAGATTTGACTGAGCTGGGCAAATGCTCCTAGGCCTTTGGGATAGACACGCTGCCTGGATGTCGCGTAAAGGCTGTCAGTGTCGGAGACTGCACCCGCGGAGCCGGGGACTAGGTGGCGGGGCCGGCCCGGGGAATCCGGTGGGGTTGAGGACCGCGCTGGGGGCCTCATCTCATCCCCCGCGGGCGCTGCCTAAGGCTGCCGGCGTTGGCAGCGCATTTTGGCCCAGGCAGTGGAAGACGGGTTGGGACGCCCCCTCGTGGGAGTTCTGGGGATGGGTTGCTCTAAGCCTTCCCCAGGGTCGCGCTTCACTGCCCTAGGCCACCCGAGACCCCGAGGCCACGCGGTGGTCAGCAGACCCTGTCTGGTGGGAGGGGGCAGACAGCCGAGCCCGGAAGGGGGCAAAGAGCAGAGTCAGGCCTGGAACCTCGCGTCCCCTTCCCGGTTGGCCCCAGCCCGTCGCCTCCCCGTCTCCTCTCCCCTACAGGGCTCGCAACAACCCCCAACTCCGCTCCCTGCCCTCTGCGGTGCTCCTAACAGAAGGAACCGTCCCCCTCCTTAAGCTCTCGGCGTTTTGCCACGCAGGCCCGTGTCCCCAGAACCCGCACAGCCTGCCAAGCATAGGGAGGGAGCAAGGTCCCATTTCCAGCCAAGACCCGGAGCTGCTGGAAGGCAGAGGTCCAGAGGACGGGTGAAGGGGGACAGGCTTGGAGGGCAGTGCCACCTCCCCCTGGGGGCGTGTCCCTGAGGCCCCGCCCGGGGCCCTGCCTTTTTTGCGCCGGCTGTGACAAGCGCTGCGGCATTTGTCCCCGCGACAGAACCGCTGCCGCCGTCTCTAAGGTCGCCCGGGTCCCGCCGCCGCCACCATGCCTCGGGGAAGCCGCAGCATGGCCTCCCGGCCAGCCAGGTGTGAGGGGGACAAGGGGCCTGTGGGAAGGGGGTTAGGGAAGCGTAAGTACTCCCCCAAGGGCGTCCGCAGAGTGACCTTGGCTGCTGCTGCGCCATCTTGGCGGGGGGAGGGGCGGGGGTGCAGCACCCACGTGTGGAGACAGGGGTCGTCCACCTCTATGGGGGTCGTTTCCAGGAGCTGCAGCACCCCCGGCCTGGGGTCTGGCCAGGATTAACCCTGCTTCCTCCCACCTCCGCAGCCGCCCCGCCGCGCCCTCTGCCCACCCGCCCGCGCACCCACCGCCCTCAGCAGCCGCCCCAGCACCCGCCCCTTCGGGCCAGCCGGGGCTCATGGCTCAGATGGCGACCACGGCCGCAGGGGTAGCCGTGGGCTCCGCTGTGGGACACGTCATGGGCAGCGCCCTGACCGGAGCCTTCAGCGGGGGGAGCTCGGAGCCCTCCCAGCCTGCTGCCCAGCAGGTGAGCAGCGGGTCCAAGAGAAACTGAGGCAGGATTCTCTCAAGGCCACACAGGGAGCTGCCCAAGTGTCCAGTGAGGAGTGTCCGCGTGTACTCACCATTGCTTCAGCCCAGGATTCTTTGCCCAGGAAGGGTCCTAGTCCACTGGTCTTGAGTTCACTGTCACTTAGAGGCAGGCTTCCCAGCCCCTCCCTTGAGGCCAGGGTCCCTAAGCTCCCAGGGAGAGACACCAACCAACCCTTTAAAGATGGGAAACCCAGGCCCTGAGGGCTCAGAGACTTGTCCAAGGTCAGCTCACCCTAGCAGAGTGGAGGGATGGTGGATTTCCTGAGCCCCTGTTCTCCCCGCACCCAGGTCTGCACATTGTGGCCGTTGGGCCCAAGGGTGAAGGGGAGCCACTTCCCTGATGACCTTTCCCCTGCTGGGGACCCCACTAGCCCTAAGCCAAATGTGGCTTTGTGGCTAGGTCAGGGGTCATGAGGATTAGTGTAGCTGAGCCAGGAAGGTGCTAAAACTTGTGGGGGTGGGGCTCATACTCTGAGAGTCCAGGCAGAGTACTGGGCTCTTCTAGAGCCTTCTCCTCCCTCCCCTGCACCCGCCCAAAGTGCCCATTAGAAGGCAGCAGAGGCCAGGCGCAGTGGCTCACGCCTGTAATCCCAGCACTTTGGGAGGCCAAGGCAGGTGGATCATGAGGTCAGGAGTTCAAGACCAGCCTGGCCAACATAGTGAAACCCCGTCTCTACTAAAAATACAAACATTTGTTGGGCATGGTGGCAGGCACCTGTAGTCCCAGCTACTTGGGAGGCTGAGGCAGGACAACCGCTTGAACCCAGGAGGCAGAGGTTGCAGTGAGCCGAGACTATGCCACTGCACTCCGCTCTAGGTGACAGAGTGAGACTCCATCTAAAAAAAAAAAAAAAAAAAAGAAAAGAAAAAGAAGGCAGCAGAAACACGCTGTCTGTAGCCGCCTCCACTGCTGGGTCACTCAGCCTGCCTAGGACCCTTGGGGCACCCAGGCTGGGGATGTGGGGAGGGGCAGGTGGCCCCAGCTTTGAAACGTACCTCCACGTACCAACTCCAAGCTGATCCTGCAGCCTCTTGCACTGTACCCCCAGGCCCCCACCCCCACTGCCCCCCAGCACCTGCAGATGGGGCCCTGCGCCTATGAGATCAGGCAGTTCCTGGACTGTTCGACCACTCAGAGTGACCTGTCCCTGTGTGAGGGCTTCAGCGAGGCCCTGAAGCAGTGCAAGTACAACCATGGTGAGTGGGTGGACCCCGACCCAGGCGGAGATGGGGAGAGGCCGACCCTCCTCTTGCACCTGCAGGCTGACCACCAGCCTGTGCTGCTCCTCCCTTCACAGGTCTGAGCTCACTGCCCTGAAGAGGTTGGTGCAAACTTGGGGGCCAGTCCTGCACCCACCTCTACCCCTCGCCGACAGCCAGACCACAACACCAGATTGTACCCGGATAGCTGGGATTGGAAGTGAGGAGGTTTCTCACCCCACAGATAACCTAAGACACAAATGTGCAATTAAAAGTTTATTTTAGACCACAGCCTGTTGTGTGCCTCTCTCGATGGCCTGTCTTCAGGGAGCTCCCTGGCTGATGAGGTGGGGTCAGGATGGATGTCTCACTACAGTGTGCAATCCGTCACCTTAATCAGGGCCCTGGGTGGGGAGGAGGAGCCCTGTTGCAATCTGCACTGTGGTTAGCACAGGACAGATACCTTGGGCAGTCTAGAGTGTGGTGGAGAGGCATTAGTAGGTGATCCCAAGGGCATCTGACTCTGAGGGTGGAATGCCAGGATGAACTCATGGTTCTCCCCCTTCTCAGGGATACCTGCCACCTCTACCCTTCTTGTCTCTGCCTCCGCATCCCATTCTCTGCACCCACAGCTTAGGTGCCCCCAGCAGCCTTAAATCCTGTCTGACCTTGCCCCTCTTGCTGATGCAACTTCTCAGCAATTCCAGATTCTGCAAGAGGAGTCGTGCTGGGTTGCTGTCTGTTTGCACCTGATCACACAAGGCAGAGGTCATGGCTAACCCCCTTAGGTCTGAGTCCAATTTGGCTAGTTGGCAGTAGTGTGCCAGGTCCCCGGGCCTGCCAGAATGGAATAACAAGCCCTTCGAACCCAGTGTGGGCCGTGCCATCACACACCATGCTGCCGCCTTCGTTGAGTTCGTCCAGCAGTTGTGCACTGAGCTGCTACTGTGTGCCAGCCCCTATGCCACATCTGTGAAGCCTGAGGACATTCCAGCCCTTAGTGAGCTGGCATTCCAGTGGGGTGGTGGGGACCCGTCTCAGGGTACAGTGTGTTCCGTCTGGGGGTATAGGTACATGGAGTTGCTGTTGAGGGTCTGCCTCTCATCGTATGTGTCCCTCCCACAGGAAGGGGTCCCACTCTGGGTGTCTCCCTGGGTGTCCATATCTCCTCCGTACCTGGCTCCCAGTCCCAGCTAGCAACTCCTGGGTGGCAGGGAGCTCACCTTTCTGGGCCTTGAAGTGGGGCTTTGCTCATGGCGGCCACGCCGGGTGCCCATGCGCTTCCTCCAGTTGTGGCCCGCAGAGGAGAGGCCTGACAGCCTGCGCAGTTCCTCTGGAAGGCCCGGGAAGTCCTGCTGGTAGGGGCTAGGGAGAAGGTGTGCCCTCCCCCTGGGCTGTACCCTGACACTCACCTGCCAGCTCTGGGTAATGGTCATCCAGGTTCTCCAGTAGGGACTCATAGCGGGTGGGGACCATGTCCTCTCCCTCTGTGGCATGTGGAGAGAGGATGAAGGACACCTGACTGGCCTGATGGTCCCTACTCTGCCTCTCACTCTGGAACTGTTTGCTAGTCCAGGCTGGGGGCAGAGCATGGGGTAGGGATGGAATGGGGCTAGGTCCCCAGCTGAGGTGGGAGGCTGGACAGGGCCTTGGGTGGTCTATGGTCTGCTACACCCCCCTCTTACATTCTAACATAGCTGCAGGGGAGAGAAGCTTGGGCCACCTTACTGATGGTTCGAACGAGGACATATATGGCTCGCTCCTTCAGCAGGGAGTCGCCCATGGTTTGGGTCCATGCAGCCCCTTCCTTCAGGTCCTCCTCCAGGCTCACTAGGTTGCCGTCCTCAGCCAGGAGAGCAATGGTCGCTGGGAGGACATGGAGAGAGGCTGGGCAGGGCTGGCACCCCTGCCTGGGACCCCTCAGCCCCTCCTTCTCCTCCCTGTCTCCTCACCATCTGGGGGCAACCCTGCTTTCTGCCTCAGGTGGGCGGTGAGGTTCACCAGCCTGCAAGAGGTGTTCACCAGCACGGAGCAGCCGGCTGTGGAGGAAGGGCAAAGGTGAGCATGTGGGATCTCTTACCTTCCTCCACATCTGGGGTCCTCTGTCTCTCCTTCCCATCTTTCCCTTTCCCAGAGCTGCGACTGGGCCTAGGGGGCTAGGACTGTGCCCCAGGCAAAACAGCTCCGACATCTGTTGCTTAAACTTCCTTGGAGACCCCTCCATCCATCTCCCGTGTGTGTTGACTTTTCTCCCATATAGGGTGACCCCCAAGTGTTAGTCTCTTGAGTCCTGCAAAGCATGAAGTGCGCGCCAGCCCAGCCTCCTCCCGGGCCCCGCCCCCACGGGACCCAGCCCGTCCCCGCACTGCCTCCCCTACCAACTCCCCTCTTCCCCTCCACCACCGCACAGGGCCGACCCGCCTCCAGCCGGAGGGACGGGGAACCTGCAACTGTGGCTAGAGTTTCAGGTGTCTGATGCACGCTGAAGCTTGAGGATCACGGATTGAATGGCGAAGAGATTGTGCGGTTTAAAAACCTGCTCCAGGGTGATGCGGCGGACGCTGGCCGAGAGGAGTCCTCGTGAATGAGCAGGACTCAGCTCGGGTTTTCCCTTTAAGGGACTTGCTCCAGGTGCTCGCTTTGCCTCCTCACAGAGCCGCTTCCCCGACCCCTGCCATCTGCACCACTCCCATCTTTCCCGCCATTACCTCCCCACCCTCCCCAAGGGCGGATGGAAGCAGCTTCTGAGTGTGCTCATCCCCCCACCCGCCTGCCAAGACAGGGGACCCCACTTACCCCCAAACATCACCTTGATAAACATAGCTGCAGCGGGAAAGGGAGATGTGGGGGACTTTGATCCCCCAACTCTCGATTCCCCAACTAAGGAAAGGCCTGGAGCAGAGACCTGCTTCAGGGCGGGGCTCTGGAGGGAGAAGTGGGTGTGTGAGTGTGGCTGGGTGGCCCCAGGGCCAGACCCCTGCTCAGCCACCTCTGTGGTTCTGCTGCTTCAGCCTAGTTCAAACCCTGCAGCTAGTCCAAGACTCCTGGCCTACTATTCCTCCCCACTGAGCCCTGGGCCACAGCAGCTCCCCTAAGCTTCCAAGCTGGTCTCCATGGCAGTGGGGGCGGAGACATCTAGGCAGGAAATGCCTTCCTCCCTGTATCCGTTAACGGGACCCATGGGGGAGGGGTGGCAGAAGAAGTGGGCGCTGGCATTCCCTGAGGCGGGGAATGCCATCATTGGGACTGATTGTTTTTTTTTAGAGAGAGTCTCCCTATGTTGCCCAGGCTGGTCTCGAACTTCTGGGCTCAGAAGTTCTGGGGCTCAGAATTGAAGCAATTCTCCTGCCCCAGCTTCCCACAAGGGCTGGGATTGCAGTTGTGAACCACCTCCGCTGGATGAAGTGTCATTTACATACAGTACAGTAAAGTTCACCCTTTCTGGTGTTTTCAAATTTCGCCAACTCTCATATAACCACTACCACAGTGAAGATACAGAACATTTCCATCACCCCCAAATTCCAGGTCCATAGCAGGTCACAATCACCTCCTTGTTAGCACTCGCCATTAGCTAGTCCCTCACACAGGCTCTCACCGTCATTTCCTGTCTTTTATTTATTATTATGCTCATTAATTATTATTATTATTGGTTTTTTTTTTTTTTTGAGATGGAATCTCCCTCTGTCACCCAGGCTACAGTGCAGTGGCACGGTCTCGGTTCACTGCAACCTCCGCCTCCCGAGTTCAAGTGATTCTCCTGCCTCAGCCTCCCGAGTAACTGGGACTACAGGTGTGCACCACTACACCTGGCTAGTTTTTTGTTTGTTTGTTTGTTTTGAGACGGACTCTCACTCTGTCACCCAGGCTGGAATGCAGTGGTGCAATCTCGGCTCACTGCAAGCTCTGCCTCCTGGGTTCATGCCATTCTCCTGCCTCAGTCTCCTGAGTAGCTGAGACTACAGTTGCCCACCACCATGGCCGGCTAATTTTTTTTGTATTTTCAGTAGAGATGGGGTTTCACCATGTTAGTAGCCAGGATGGTCTCGATCTCCTGACCTCATGATCCACCTGCCTCGGCCTCCCAAAGTGCTGGGATTACAGACATGAGCCACCGCGCCCGGCCTTTTTTTGTATTTTTAATAAAGATGGGGTTTCGCCATGTGGGTCAGGTTGGTCTCGAACTCCTGACCTCAAATAATCTGCCCACCTTGGCCTTCCAAAGTGCTGAGCCACCAAGCCTGACCTATTTATTTTTATTTTTTTGAGAAGGAGTCTCGCTCTGTCAGCCATGCTGGAGTGCAGTGGTGCAATCTTGGCTCACTGCAACCTCTGCCTTTTGGGTTCAAGCGATTCTCCTGCCTCAGCCTCCTGGGTAGCTGGTATTACAGGTGCCAGCCACCACGCCTGGCTAATTTTTATATTTTTAGTAGAGATGAGGAAGGTCAGGCTGGTCACAATATCCTGACCTCAGGTGATCCGCATGCCTTGGCCTCCCACAGTGCTGAGATTATAGGAATGCGCCACCGCGAGCCACCACGCCCAGCCATTTCATGTCTTTTGCATTTGTCTGCTTCTCCCAGTCTCTCCCCTTCTTGTTCCCCTCCTCTCTGTCTTCTTTTTCTTTCTGTCTAGATTTCACATTCTCTCTCCTCTCCCCTACTCTCCCCCTGCCCCTTTCCCTTTCTTCTTTTTTCCTTTCTCTTCCTCCCTCCCTCTCTCCCTCCCTCCCTTCCTTCCTTTCTTTTTTTGACGGAGTTTTGCTCTTGTTGCCCAGGCTGGAGTACAATGGTGCAATCTTGGCTCACCGCAACCTCTGCCTCCCCGGTTCAAGCGATTCTCCTGCCCTAGCCTCCCAAGCAGCTGGGATTACAGGCATGTGCCACCACACACAGCTAATTTTGTATTTTTAGTAGAGACAGGGTTTCTCTATGTTGGTCAGGCTGGTCTCGAACTCCTGACCTCAGGTCATCCGCCCCCCTCGGCCTCCCAAAGTGCTGGGATTACAGGCATGGGCCACCTCTCTTTCTTTTTTCTTTCTCTCTTTTTCTTTCTTTTCCTTCCTTCCTTTCTTCTTTTCTGGTCTCTTTTTTTTTTGAAACAAGGTCTTACTCTGTTGCCCAGGCTGCAGTGCAGTGGCACAATCACAGCTCACTGCAGCTTTGGCCTCCCTGGCTCAAGCAATCCTCCCACTTCAGCCTCCTGAGTAGCTGGGACTACAGGTGCATGCCACCATGCCTGTTGAAATTTTTTTCTTTTTAATTTTGTAGAGACGGAGTCTCGTTATGTTGCCTAGACTGGTCTTGAACTCCTGGGGTCAAGCGATCCTCTTGCCTTGGCCTCCCAAAGTGGTGGGATTATAGGTGCAAGCCACTGCTCCCGGCCTCACATTGTTTTTTTTGCCTCTCCGTGTTCATCCTTTCTTTGACTTTTTTTCTCCATGTCTCTTTTCATTATCCTTTCTCTTTCCATCCTGCTTACTGCCTCCCCTCTGTCTCTGTCTCTCCACTTCTGTCTCCTGCCCCCACCCCATGACCCTCCACCAGACCTCTCTAGCCAGGGCACCAGGTGGATGCCTGGAACAGCGCCTCCCTTTTCCCAGCTCCCTTACCCCAGAGTTTTAGAAGTGCTCCCAGCCCCCATGATTCAGCTGTGTCCTGCCCTTTGCAGGCAGAGTTCTGGACAGTGAGGGTGGAGGAAAACTGAGTCTTTCATGAAGCCTGCCATTGTCAGACTCTGGCTCTGGATAAGCACTTTCCTTTGGACTGCCTTGGTGTTTCCATCTGTAAAAGAGGGATGTGACCCATGACTTAGCAGGGCTGTGGTGACGATTAAGTGTGATACATTTTAAAGAGCTGTCTCTGTGCTCAGCACCTTGAGTGCTGCGATAAGCACTCCAATCAGTATTGCAGAAACAGGCAGCACTTCCCAAACTTATTTAAACATGGGGCGGCCAGGCGCAGTGGCTCATGTCTGTAATCCCAACACTTTGGGAGGCCGAGGCGGGCAGATCACTGGAAGTCGGGATCTCCCCAGCCTGGGCCAACATAGCAAGGCCTCATCTCTGTAAAAATAAAAACATTAGGCCAGGCGCGGTGGCTCACGCCTGTAATCCCAGCACTTTGGGAGGCTGAGACGGATGGATCACAAGGTCAGGAGATCAAGACCATCCTGGCTAACACGGTGAAACCCTGTCTCTACTAAACAAATAAAAAAAATTAGCCGGGCGTGGTGGTGGGCGCCTGTAGTCCCAGCTACTCAGGAGGCTGAGGCAGGAGAATGGCGTGAACCCGGGAGGCGGAGCTTGCAGTGAGCCGAGATCGCGCCACTGCACTCCAGCCTGGGTGACAGAGCGAGACTCCGTCTCAAAAAAAAAAGAAAAAATAAAAAATAAAAACATTAGCTGGGCGTGGTGGCTCACACTTGTAGTCCCAGCTCCTCGGGGAGGCTGAGGTGGGAGGATCACTTGAGCCCAGTTCAAGGCAGAAATTGATTAAAATCATACCACTACGCTTCAGCCTGGGTGACACAGTGAGACTTTGACTAAAAAAAAAAGACAAAAACAGTGCCCTCTTTTTAACTCACAGCCTCCAGAATTCCCTTGGGGAGGCTATATAGCCCCTTCCCAGGTCCCACTCCATTCTTGACACCTCCTCAGGGTATCTCCATGACAGTCAAGATAGAGTCTCTTGATTCCCTTCTTGGTGGCGATGAAGAGGAGATCCTTGGATGGCAGATGGTGACTATCAGAGCTGAAGCTCCAGGCCTGGAGTGGCCTTTCCTTCCAGATTCGGGCTCCAGGCACTGGAGGATCCACACTTACAGTCTCCTGAGCTGTATTCTGCGGGATGTGGGTCCCCAGATATGGTTCTGTCCTGGGGAAAAGTGCCCCATGTTTGTTTGTTTGTTTGTTTTGAGACAGAGTCTCATTCTCGTCACCCAGACTGGAGTGCAATGGCACGATCTTGGCTCACTGCAACCTCCGCCTCCCGGGTTCAAGTGATTCTCCTGCCTCAACCTCCTGAGTAGCTGGGATTATAGGCGCCCGCTACCACGCCCAGCTAATTTTGTTTGTATTTTTAGTAGAGACAGGGTTTCACCATGTTGGCCAGGCTGGTCTTGAACTCCTGACCTTGTGATCCACCCACCTCAGCCTCCCAAAGTGCTGGGATTACAGGCACGGGCCACCTAGCCCCTCCCATGTTTTGTTTGTTTGTTTGTTTGTTTGTTTGTTTGTTTTGAGACGGAGTCTCACTCTGTCGCCCAGGTTGTAGTGCAACCTCAGCTCACTGCAGTCTCCACCTCCCAGGTTCAAGTGATTCTTCCGCCTCAGCTTCCCTAGTAGCTGTGATTACAGGAGCACACCACCAAGCCTGGCTAATTTTTTGTGTTTTTCATAAAGACGGGCTATCATCATGTTGACCAGGCTGGTCTCGAATTCCTGAGCTCAAGTGATCCCCCCGCCTCTGCCTCCCAAAGTGCTGAGATTATAAGCATGAGCCACTGCACCCAGCCTTATTATTATTTTTTGAGACAGAATCTCACTCTGTCACCCAGGCTGGAGTGCACTGGCACAAACATGGCTCACAGCAGCCTCAAACTCCTGTGCTCAAGTGATCCTCCCACCTCAGGCTCCTGAGTAGCTAAAACTACAGGTGTGAGCCACCACGCCTGGCCAATTAAAAAATTTTTTTTGTAGAGACAGGGTCTTGCTCTGTTGTTCAGGCTGGTCTCAAACTGCTGGCCTCAAACGATTTTCCTGCTTTGGCCTCTCAAAGTGCTAGGATAACAGGCATGAGCCACCATGCCCAGTGTCACAATTATTTTCTGATGTTAGCCTTACCTTACCTGAATAATAACAAAACCAATTAAAATGGTGCACTCTTGTAAGGCGCGGTGGCTTATGCCTGTTATCCTAGCACTTTGGGAGGCTGAAGCAGGAGGATCGTTTGAGGCTGGGAATTCAAGACCAGACTGGGCAATATAGTAAGACATATAAAAAAATTTTTTTTTTTTTTTAAGATGGAGTCTCACTCTGTCTCCCAGGCTGGAGTGCAGTGGCGCGATCTCAGCTCACTGCAAGCTCCGCCTCCTGGGTTCACACCATTCTCCTGCCTCAGCCTCCTGAGTAGCTGGGACTACTGGGACTACAGGCGCCTGCCACAACGCCTAGCTAATTTTTTTGTGTTTTTAGTAGAGACAGGGTTTCACCGTGTTAGCCAGGATGGTCTCGATCTCCTGACTTTGTGATCCGCCCGCCTCGGCCTCCCAAAGTGCTGGGATTACAGGTATGA